TTTGATTTCTCGCCGCGTTATTTTGCCCGTGCGGTGCGCGTGTCCGGAGTGACGGCTGTGGCGGAGGTCGCTGGTAGACTGGGGGAGGGGGGGGTGTAAAACGTTGTACGGAATGCACACGGTGGCGTGCGTGCGTGTGTGTGTGCGTGCGAGCGTGTGTGCAAGCGTGCGTGTGTGCGAGCGTGCGTGTGCTTGCGTGCGAGCGTGTGTGTGCGTGCGTGTGAGCGTGTGTGTGCGTGCGTGCGTGCATGTGTGCGAGCGCGTATGTGTGCGAGCGCGTGTGTGTGTGTGCACGTGCGCGTGCGTGCATGTGTGCGTGCATGTGTGCGAGTGCGTGCGTGTGTGCGATCAAGGTAGTATCCAGAGCTGCAGTGTAGGGAGATGGGTGAGGCGTGGGGAGGTGTGTGTGGTATATGCTTGATGCGTGGTGTCTGCCGGTGAGATTAATTGAGCCCCCCCGGCTTTCACAACGTTGGGTGCAAGCAGCGGCAGCAGCAGCGGCGAGCGAAAGCCGCGTTAGGAGGGCGGGGAGGAGAGAAGCAGGGAAGAAAAAAAAACCCTCCCACCACCAAAACGACTACAACAACAAAAACTCATCGCGGCTAGCGGCGTAACGGACGTCCGGTTCGTTACCAAGCGTTCCGAATATCACTACGAGACATTCTAGATTTGAAGCTTTCGTGACTGCAAGGATTCATATTCTTAGGTTTTTTCGGTAAAGTCACGTAGGTAAAACATTAAAATTAATAAAAGTTAAATAAAATAAAAATCACGACGTTTACGGAAGCAACACAAGCTTCCGTCTTCAGGTGGAACCGTCACAGCCCGACAGCTGTATCAAGTAAATGAGACATCTCCTTTACCAGTGGCAAAATATAGTAGTAGATTTTTACCCTTTCAACTGGTACAAAAACTGACACCTTTGTACAAGGCATCATGTTTGCAATAACCACAACACAAGCAGTCAAAATGCAAACAAAAAGAAACAACTCTGATAATGATAAAGTACCCCTTTTGGCGTCATCTGGTCCAACACCAATGGAGACTAGGCTCTAAGAAAAGCTGTCTCGGGTGTGGACCTAATCAACTTCAAGGACAGTGCATATCATTATCATCATCAGAGTTGTTTCTTTTTGTTTGCATTTTGACTACTTGTGTTGTGGTTATTGCAAACATGATGCCTTGTATCAAGGTGTCAGTTGTTGTACCAGTTGAAAGGGTAAAAACCTATCACTATGTTCCGAATATCATCGGTGTGCGTTGCTGCGCGCGTGTCCCTTTGTGTTGGTTGTTATTGTTTTAAAGTTGGCTTTGAGCGGGAGGTGGGGCAGGTGCAGAGGTCGCAAACGGGTTTTGATTCCTTACCCGTACCCGGCCGCACCAGGGTCGCAAATGGCTACCCGTACCCGGCCGGGTACGGGTAGCCGTTCCCTACCCGTACCCGTACCCTACCCGAAATGAGTGACAAACGGTTACTCACAAGTGACTCGCGGCCTCCCCGTACCCGGCCGCACCAGGGTCGCAAACGGCTACCCGTACCTGGCCGGGTACGGGTAGGGTACGGGTATCGGGTACCCGGTTGCGACCTCTGGGCAGGCGGTGGGGTGCGTGGGGATTGGCGATCGTGGACAAATGTTTCGTTGCCGCGTTTGTCTGACATAGGTCAGTGTGTCGAAGCTTCGAGGGGGGGGCACGCGCGTGCGTGCGTGTGTGTGCGCGTGTGTGTGCGCGTGTGTGGTGTGTGCGTGCGTGTCTAAGGTTAAAAGGTTGCGGGGGAACTGCGGCGCAGCGGTTAGCGCTACGCCGCGCTACGAACCCTCTCCCCTCGGTCGACAACCCCGTGGCTGTGTGCGGTGAACATCGCCACGAGGTGAGGCAAAGGCGGCTGGGGGCACGGCGCTGGCCACCCACCCTCCCCCCACCCCCCGGCCCTCTCGTGTGCCACAGTGCCGGCCTTCACCGCTGCTGCTGCTGCTGCTGCTGTAACAGCACTTTGCCTCACTCCCACAGCGAATCTGTGATCTGTTGGGGGGGGGGAGGGTGTCGGGGGGGGAAGCCTTTGGATCGGTGGTCAAAGGTAACAGGTCGAACGGAACAAGTGAAACGATGGCGCTGATGCGTGCGGGGGGTGGGGAGCGATGTCCACAACCCTGGGGGTCGCAACTGCTTTTGAGCGGAGGGGGGGGGGGGTGTTGTAGGTTGAGAGACGGGGGGGGTTTGCCTCCTCCGCCACCATCGCCGCGATCGAGCAAACTCCGGTGGTCGTCCTCGTCGCGGGACGAGCACGGCGGCTCTCCCCGGGGCGGCCGTCTGGAACGCTCTCTCCCTTCCGACGCGAGGAAGCCAACCGGAGAGCCGTGTGTGTTGTGTGCGCGCCGTTGAATCATCCAGAGCAAGTGGTTCCCGTGACGTTAACGGCGGCATTTTGCCCTCCCTTGTGTTCTCAATCGTACGTTTTTTTCCCCCTTGAATACGACATGAATAAGCAAGCGGTACATTTGCGTTTCGGCCATTCGCCGCCCCGAACAAATTTGAGAAAAAAGTGGCATCACGCGCGCTCCCAGCCGGGCAGAGTGGTGCCCAGAGGTCGCAACCGGGTACCCCATACCCGTACCCTACCCGATACCCGTACCCTACCCGGTACCCGTACCCTACCCGATACCCGGCTACCCGTACCCTACCCGATACCCGTACCCTACCCGGTACCCGGCTACCCGTACCCTACCCGATACCCGGCTACCCGTACCCTACCCGGTACCCGTACCCTACCCGGCTACCCTACCCGGTACCCGTACCCTACCCGATACCCGGCTACCCTACCCGATACCCGGCTACCCGTACCCTACCCGATACCCGATACCCGATACCCGTACCCTACCCGATACCTGGCTACCCGTACCCGATACCCGTACCCTACCCGATACCCGGCTACCTGATACTCGTACCCTACCCAGTACCCGGCTACCCGATACCCGTACCCTACCCGATACCCGTACCCTACCCGATACCCGGCTACCCAGCCGGGTACGGGTAGACCGTGAGTCACTGGTGAGTCACCGTTTGTCACTCATTTCCCAACGTCTTGTCTCTTCTCACAATTCAAGTTCCTAGAATCAACCCACCCGCGCCTGCAACATGGCTTCATCCCAGAGGTCGCAATCAGGTACCCTATACCCGTACCCGGTCGGGTAGGGTACGGGTACCCGTTTGCGACCCTGGTGCGGCCGGGTACGGCCAGGTATGGGTACCCGTTTGCGACCCTGGGTGTACGGGTAAGGAATCAAAACCCGTTTGCGACCTCTGGTGATGCCCCCACCCCAGGTTCATGAGAGAGAACCACCGCTCCAGAAGGACGACCTCAGCATCCCTCACGAGAGTCGCTGGTTTTGTGTTTAAGTTCGTCGCCCTGCCCCCCCACGCCCACGCCCTTCAAAAGTTCAGCGCGCTCTCAAACTCCGTCCGCAGAGGTCGCGGATCGAACGTGCCGTGCCGTGACGATGCCGTACAAGCTGCGTCCGGCGCGGTAAAGTGTCGCGTTGAGCGGCGATGATGTGGTTTTCCCCGCACGTGGTGTCGTGAACTACTCTCAAACCCTCTTCTTGGTTCTTTCGGTAAAGTCATCACGTAGAAGGGAAGTAATAAAATAATAAAAATAAAACACAATAAAATAATTCTCACGACGTTTCGGCCACAACGCAAGCAGCCGTCCTCAGGTCTTCGGGTGAGGACGGCTGCTTGTGGCCGAAACGTCGTGAGAATTATTTTATTGTGTTTTATTTTTATTATTTTATTACTTCCCTTCTACGTGACTTTATCGAAAGAACCAAGAAGATGAATCCCTGCAGTCACGAAAGCTTTAAATCGAAATATACTCTCAAACCCGTTTTTTATTTGAGCATGTGCAGGACCGGCTTGAGCTGCTGCTGCTGCTGTAGCAGTAGAGCCCTTTTTTTTTTTTCTTGAGAAGCGACCTCGCCACTAAATGCTGCTGGGTCAACGAAGTGGATTATCGCGTGGACATTTGGAGCAGCCGTATCTACTCCTGCCAACACGCGTTCGTTGCTTCTAAATGTGGAGGGAAAACCGGAGGGAATTCCACGCGGAGGGGGGGGGGAGACAGGTGAATGCTGAGGAGTTACGCCGCCGGGGAGGAGGCGGTGATTGTGGTGGTGATGACGACGGTGATGATGGTGGTGATGGTGACAGTGGCGGTGATGATGGCGGTGATTGCGGTGGTGATGATGGTGGTGATGGTGACAGTGGCGGTGATGATGGCGGTGATTGCGGTGGTGATGATGAGTGGTGATGATGACAGTGGCGGTGATGATGGCGGTGATTGCGGTGGTGATGATGAGTGGTGATGGCGGTGACGGTGTTTGCGGTGGTGATGGCGGTGATTGCGGCGGTGGTGATGACGATGGCGGTGGTGGTGACGATGGCGATGGCGGTGGTGGTGACGATGGCGTTGGTGATGACGGTGTTTGCGGTGGGGATGGCGGTGATTGCGGCGGTGGTGATGACGATGGCGGTGGTGGTGACGATGGCGTTGGTGATGACGGTGTTTGCGGTGGGGATGGCGGTGATTGCGGCGGTGGTGATGACGATGGCGGTGGTGGTGACGATGGCGGTGGTGGTGACGACGGCGTTTACGGTGGTGATGGCGGTGGTGGTCACGATGACGGTGATTGCGGTGGTGATGACGGTGGTTGCCGTGGTGATGACGGTGGTTGCCGTGGTGATGACGGTGGTTGCCGTGGTGATGACGGTGATTGTGGTGGTGAATGCGGTGAATACGATGATAGCGGTGGTGATGATGGCGGTGACGATAGCGGTGGTGATGATGGCGGTGACGATGGCGGCGGCGGTGACGATGGCTGTGGTGATGATGGTGGCGGAATGACGTTGACGGTGGCGGCAGTGACGATGGCGGCGGTGGTGATGACGGTGGTGATGACTGGCGATGACGGTCCGATGGTGATGGCGGTGATGACGGAGCTGGTGATAGCGGCGGCGGCGGTGACGACGGCGATGGTGGCAGCGGCGGTGGCCGTTACCGAGAGGCCGCTGTGTGTGATGTGGCCACGTGTGCGAAACGAACCACAGTCGTTTCAGGAGGACGGAATCAAGCGATGAGTGCGTGCGGATGTCTCGTGGGGTCGAGAGGGGGGGGGGGGGGCAACTCGTCGTGTTCCAGGACCGCGTGCGCGCGTTCGAAGCTTCGCGTTTGTGGAAATGCCAAATTGTCGTGGGCTAGTGCGTGTTTCTTTGTCACCATTATTTCTATGCAACAAGAAAGCGCGCACGCGTTTGTTATGAGTCTAGTGATGATATCGTCACCCTCCCCCCCCCCCTCGTTATTTTTGTTCATTTTAAATGTCTACCTGCCCCCACACCGCGTCACTTTAATCGTGTCATCTGTATAGTTTTATTTTAAATTATTTATTTAAACTCCCCCTGTCCGTGTATATATAAGTTTCATTTAGGTTTGCGTAACTTAAGACTCGTGGTGGGTGGGTGCGGGTGGGTGGGGATGTAGTGGGGGGGAGGTAGTGGTGGGGTGATGGTGATGGTGGGGGGGGCTATGTCTTTAATTTCCCACCCGATCAATCCGCGCGTACTACTACTACTCTGCTTAACTCGCTCTGAAAAAGAAAAGAAAACCTCCATCCCTTGCGTGTCGCTGGTTACATGTTGTGAACATCGGAGGAGTAGGAGGGGAAATTGAAGGGGCCGTCTTTTCGTCGTCCGTGCAACGCTCTCAGCTGTCGCCAACGACATTGAACGCTGATTGATGATGAGCGAAAGGTCGTAATCGTCGCGATGATTACGATGATTACGATGATTATGATGATGATGATTATTGTTGTTGTGTGGTGACGTTGAATAACTCTTCTCAGCTCTGCAACAAGATTTCAAACGTTTCCACCTCGCGTAATATGGGAGGGGGAGCTTTTATTAGGGGGTGAGATCGTGTAAAAATATTCATGCTTTGTGTTGTTAAACCCACTACGACATTTATAATTCGTTACTAGTACAGCACTAACCGGTTGCTGTGTGTTGGAGAGTTAAACCCACTACAACATTTACAATTCGTTAGTAGTACAGCACTAACTGGTTGCTGTGTGTTGGAGAGTTAAACCCACTACTACATTTACAATTCGTTACTAGTACAGCACTAACCGGTTGCTGTGTGTTGGAGAGTTAAACCCGCTACAACATTTACAATTCGTTACTAGTACAGCACTAACCGGTTGCTGTGTGTTGGAGAGTTAAACCCACTACAACATTTACAATTCGTTACTAGTACAGCACTAACCGGTTGCTGTGTGTTGGAGAGTTAAACCCACTACAACATTTACAATTCGTTACTAGTACAGCACTAACCGGTTGCTGTGTGTTGGAGAGTTAAACCCACTACGACATTTACAATTCGTTACTAGTACAGCACTAACCGGTTGCTGTGTGTTGGAGAGTTAAACCCACTACAACATTTACAATTCGTTACTAGTACAGCACTAACCAGTTGCTGTGTGTTGGAGAGTTAAACCCACTACGACATTTACAATTCGTTACTAGTACAGCACTAACCAAGCCACAAATGGCATGTTCTGTTCACGTGACAAACCTTACTGATGGGCTGTGTCGGGTGGTGGCGGGTTTAACGACACATTAATATATTTAAGCGATCTAACCCAAAAGAAACCTTCTTATGGATGATATTGGTTGTGAAATCCTTCGTGTTACACCCAACTCACTCGCTGCACATCACACTACACCTCACCCACACACCACACACACCACCCACACACCACCCACACAGCCACACACCTCACCCACACACACACCACCCACACACCACCCACACCTCACCCACACCTCACCCACACACCACCCACACCATAACCAACACCTCAACCATACCACACAACACTTTAACCCACACCTCACACACACACCACACCTCACACACACCTCACACACACACTCACCCACACACCACCCACACACCACCCACACACCTCACCCACACCATAACCATACCACACAACACTTTAACCCACACCTCACACACCACACCTCACACACAAACCACACCTCACCCACACACCACCCACACAGCCACACACCTCACACACACACCACCCACACCATAACCAACACCTCAACCATACCACACAACACTTTAACCCACACCTCACACACACACCACACCTCACCCACACACACCACCTCACCACACCACACACACTCACCCACACACCACCCACACACCTCACCCACACCATAACCATACCACACAACACTTTAACCCACACCTCACACACCACCCACACACACACCACACCTCACACACAAACCACACCCCACACACACCACACACACCACACCTCATCCACACCACACACCTCACACACACACTCACCCACACACCACCCACACACCTCACCCACACCATAACCATACCACACAACACTTTAACCCACACCTCACACACCACACCTCACACACAAACCACACCTCACACCACACACACCACACCTCACCCACACCTCACACACCACCCACACACACACCACACCTCACACACAAACCACACCTCACACCACACACACACCTCAAACACACCACACCTCACCCACACACCACCCCACACCTCACCCACACACACCACCCACCCACACACCACCCACACACCTCACCCACACCATAACCATACCACACAACACTTTAACCCACACCTCACACATCACCCACACCTTACACACACCTCACACCACACACACCACACACACAACTCACCTATATCACACCCATTCTCTCCCACCCCATTCCCACCGCAGACAGACAAGTCGTGTGATGAGAGCTGTTGAATCTTTGGCTGGGCGGGCGTGCGGCTGGGGGGGGAAGACGAAAAATAAATGGGTTGGGGTGGTGTGGAAAACCACGTGGAGAGAGATGGTGACCTGTAACGGGTGGAAGCGCGTGGTGGTGGTGTTGGTGTTGCTGCTGGTGGTGGTGTTGTTGCTGGTGGTGTTGCTGGTGGTGGTGCTGGTGGTGTTGTTGGTGGTGTTGCTGGTGGTGGTGGTGTTGGTGGTGGTGTTGCTGGTGGTGGTGGTGTTGCTGGTGGTGGTGGTGTTGCTGGTGGTGGTGGTGTTGCTGGTGGTGGTGGTGTTGCTGGTGGTGGTGTTGCTGCTGGTGGTGTTGCTGGTGTTGGTGGTGTTGGTGGTGTTGCTGGTGTTGGTGGTGTTGCTGCTGCTGCTGGTGTTGGTGGTGTTGGTGGTGTTGCTGCTGGTGTTGGTGGTGTTGCTGGTGTTGGTGGTGTTGCTGCTGCTGCTGCTGGTGGTGTTGCTGGTGTTGCTGGTGTTGGAATGTTGATGGGCAGCATTGACACTGAACGGACGTCGGAAAAACTGCGGGCGAATGATCTCAAAAGTGTTTGTTTCGCTATCGTGGCCTCTCCACCCCCTCCATGCCCCTCCTCGCCCCGCGTGTCCCATCGTCTGTCGGATCGAAAATAACGAAAATAAACGGGGGGCCCCCTACCCCCCCCAAAAATGGAATACAATGCTAACTGCCCCCCTCGAACCGGAGTATCGCTTGTGTTGATTTCAGGTTGTGGCGAGTGGATCGATGGATGAATAGATCGATGGGTTTGAGTGAAGGATGAGAGAGGGTGGAGTGTGGATGTTGTTCAATTTGAGACTTAAAACTTTCGTGACTTGCAAGGAATTCATATTCTGGGTTCTTTCGGTAAATTCGCGTAGAGAGAAAACATTAAATACAAAGAGAATAAAATTTAATGGATAAAAAAATAATTATTATTTTCTATTTAGTAGTTTTATGTTTTCTTTTATTTAATTTTATTATTATCTGTAATTTAAATTTTTATTAATTATATTTTATTATCTGTTATTTTAATTTTATATTTATTTTATTATTTGTATTTGATTATCTGCTATTTCTATTTTATTTAATAAATTTGATCTGATATTTAATTATTTTAATCTATTTAATTTTATTACCTTATTTTTATTGTCATTTTAATTTTGTTATTTGAATTTGATTCTGTTATTTGTAACTTTACCAAAAGAACCAAGAATATGAAGTTTGATGTTAAGTCTGCGCGGCCCCTCCCCACCCAGCCCCTCCCCACCCAGCCCCTCCCCACCCAGCCCTCCCCACCCAGCCCTCCCCACCCAGCCCCTCCCACCCTCCCCACCCAGCCCCTCCCCACCCCACCCAGCCCCTCCCCACCCTCCCCACCCAGCCCTCCCCACCCTCCCCACCCAGCCCCTCCCCACCCTCCCCACCCAGCCCCTCCCCACCCAGCCCCTCCCCACCCCTCCCACCCAGCCCCTCCCCACCCAGCCCCACCCTTCCCACCCAGCCCCTCCCCACCCAGCCCCTCCCCACCCAGCCCACCCTTCCCACCCAGCCCCTCCCCACCCAGCCCCTCCCACCCTCCCCACACTCCCCACCCAGCCCTCCCCACCCAGCCCCTCCCTGCACGACGGACACAATAATCCCCTGTGGGCTGGTGTAACCAGGAGGTTGCTACCAGCACAAAACGCCGGAACGCGACAGCGAACGTCACGTTGACGACGGCTTCGAAAAGTCGAATCCCCCCGCTCGTCCTCAATCGACAGTCAACGCTCTGCCTGGAACCATCTCCACGTGGTGGAGCAGCGGGTCCCCCCCCCCCCTCGGGCTGTCACGACGTCTGCTTTGTGGAGTCGTTGCAAACTCCCTGCAGAAGTCCAGAGTCTTTGGTTCTTTCGGTCAAGTAGTCGCGTCGAAAGGAAATAAAAAATCAATACAATTCTCACGACGTTTCGATTGCAACGCGTGTGTGTGTGTGCGTGTGATGAGTTGCAGGTAGAGTGGGAAGTAGGCACATACGCACACACACGCACATACGCACACACACGCACAAACACACATGCGCGCACACACACAAACACATGCGCACACACAAACGCACATGCGCACACACAAACACATGCGCGCACACAAACGCACATGCGCACACACAAACGCACATGCGCGCACACGCACACACATGCGCACGCACACATACACGCACACACGCACATGCGCACACACATACACGCACATACAAACGCACATACGCACACACACGCACAAACACACATGCGCACACACACAAACACATGCGCACACACAAACACATGCGCACACACAAACGCACATGCACACACACAAACACATGCGCACACACAAACGCACATGCGCACACACACACACAAACGCACATGCGCGCACACGCACACACATGCGCACGCACACACACAAACATGCGCACGCACACACACAAACGCACATACACGCACACACGCACATGCGCACACACATACACGCACATACAAACGCACATGCGCACACACACACATGCGCACACACGCAAATCTTTCCCACTCGGAATCCCAAAGGAAAACAACAACTATTTCCACGGCGGCGGCGGCGTCTGCGTCTCCGCTGACGAGGACCCAGAAGGGGCGAAACGGTGGCCCTGGGAAGTTTCGCTCGACGTTGTGGCGGGAAGGGAAACTCTGCGTACCCGTACCCGGCCGCACCAGGGTCGTAAATGGGTACCCTACCCGGTACGGGTATCGGGTACCCGATTGCGACCTCTGGGTTGAAGCCATGTTGTAGGCGCGGGTGGGTTGATTCTAGGAACTTGAATTGTGAGAAGAGACAAGACATTGGGAAATGAGTGACAAACGGTGACTCACGGCCTACCCCAGGGGTCGGCAACCAAAATAACAAGAAGAGCCATTTCTTTCCAATTCGGTACAAAATTCAGTATTTCAAGAGCCGCAATGCATCTGAGTACATACTGTACATACGTACATATCGTCAAGAAGCAGCCCGTAAAGAGCCGCATGCAGCTCCGGAGCCGTAGGTTGCCAACCCCTGGCCTACCCGTACCCGTACCCGGCCGCACCAGGGTCGCAAACGGCTACCCGTACCCGGCCGTACCCGTACCCTACCCGGCCGGGTACGGGTAGGGTACGGGTATCGGGTACCTAATTGCGACCTCTGGGATGAAGCCATGTTGCAGGCGCGGGTGGGTTGATTCTAGGAAACTTGAATTGTGAGAAGAGACAAGACGTTGGGAAATGAGTGACAAACGGTGACTCTACAGTGACTCACGGTCTACCCGTACCCAAGCCGCACCAGGGTCGCAAACGGCTACCCGTACCTGGCCGGGTACGGGTAGCCGGGTATCGGGTAGGGTACGGGTATCGGGTACCACGCTGCGACCTCTGGTGCCAAGGGGGCGTGTGTGGGGAATGGTTGTTCGTCCGGGAGCTTGGCAGGCAGAAGAAGATGGTGACGCGGATGAATCAGATGAAGAAGCAGATGAAAAAGATTCAGATGAAAAAGCATTTAAAGGATCAGATGAAGAATCAGATGAAAAAGCAGATAAAGGAGCAGCAGAATCAGATGAAGCATCAGATGAAGAATCAGATGAAAAATCTGATGGAAAATCAGATGAAAAAGAATCAGATGAAAAAGCAGGTAAAGGATCAGCAGAATCAGATGAAGAATCAGATGAAAAATCAGATGGAAAATCATATGAAAAAGAATCAGATGAAAAAGCAGGTAAAGGATCAGCAGAATCAGATGAAGAATCAGATGAAGAATCAGATGAAGAATCAGATGGAAAATCAGATGGAAAATCATATGAAAAAGAATCAGATGAAAAAGCAGGTAAAGGATCAGCAGAATCAGATGAAGCAGATGAAGATGCAGCAGAATGAGAAGAATCTACTTAAAAAAAAAATCGACCAATCACCATCACACGCTTCAATAACCGAATGTAAACATCCGATTGTTATTATTTTTTTTTCCCTTCGGCGAGCAAAACGCGAATCGCAAAATCGTAAAACGCCGACAACAACGACAACGCCACCGACAAAAACCGCAACCGCCAAACTGGGAGACATTGATCTTGAAAATAAAAATTTGAAAGAAAACAAAAGAGAGAGAGGGGAAGAGAGGGGGCCCAAATTTATCGGTGAAAAATAAAAAAATAATTAACGCGTGCAAAACCGACCAATCGGTAAAGAGCATCCCCCCTACCGACCAATCGATAAAGAGCATCCCGCTACCCCTCTCGACCAATCGGTAAAGAGCTTCGCCAAAGCCCTCCCGACCAATCGGTAAAGAGCTTTGCCCAAGCCCTCTCGACCAATCGGTAAAGAGTTTCCCCCTACCCGTCTCGACCAATCGGTAAAGAGCTTCGCCAAAGCCCTCCCGACCAATCGGTAAAGAGCTTCCCGCTACCCGTCTCGACCAATCGGTAAAGAGCTTCCCGCTACCCGTCTCGACCAATCGGTAAAGAGTTTCCCCCTACCCGTCTCGACCAATCGGTAAAGAGCTTCCCGCTACCCGTCCCGACCAATCGGTAAAGAGCTTCGCCAAAGCCCTCTCAACCAATCGGTAAAGAGCTTCCCGCCCTACCCGTCTCGACCAATCGGTAAAGAGCTTCCCGCCCTACCTGTCTCGACCAATCGGTAAAGAGCTTCCCGCTACCCGTCTCGACCAATCGGTAAAGAGCTTCGCCAAAGCCCTCCCGACCAATCGGTAAAGAGCTTTGCCCAAGCCCTCCCGACCAATCGGTAAAGAGCTTTGCCCAAGCCCTCTCGACCAATCGGTAAACAGCTGCCCCTCCACCCCATATCCTCCGCTCTGAAGAGGAGGAGGACCAATCACAGCGCTTCGTTTTTTCCGTTATTGTTGTAGCCGCTGGTCGGGCGGGGGACCAATGACGTGCACACGCGCCTCGACCAATCGGATGCCCCGATGCACGAAAAGGTGGCGGGGGGGGGGGGGGCGGGGGAGGGGCGACGCCGCTGAAGACTGAAGGCACCCGATTGGTTCAAATGACACTTCGGCAGTGACGTCACTTCACATCGCCACGGCAACGTCAAACCTGATCTCGAATGCTCGCGCGTGATTGGCCGGGCGTCCCCGGCACACTCCCCCCCCCCCCCCGCTTCCCTCCCCCGGCGGCATCGGCCGTCCCGATTGGTCCGTCGGCGAATCGTTGAAGCCTGAGAAACGTCATGAGGTTGTTCTTTTTCTTCCTTTCCCCCCTCCTCCCGGTGGCGCTAAATTTCTGTCCGTTCGCTTCCACGAAGTGAAATAAATCCACCGTTGACCCGGCAGTCCGATGCGATGCCTCCACCTCTTCCACCTCCTCCTCCTCTACCTCCTCCTCTTCCACCACCTCCTCCACCACCTCCTCCTCCACCTCTTCCACCACCTCCTCCTCCACCACCTCCTCCACCTCCTCCTCTTCCTCCTCCTCTTCCACCTCCACCTCCTCCCTCGTTGACGCTCACAGC